CATCGACAGTAAGTTGACTTTTTTTGAGCTTATCAATTATCCTCTCTCTGCGTTGTATATTTGTACTGGAAAAAGGAACAAGAGAAGAAAAAAGGGAAGAAAACGTTCAGAAACTTCTTTATTTTTTAATGAAAATAATGTAGTGTCTCACAACCTATTTAGTAAATCTAGGTTGTTTATTGTCATGCCAATTACAACTTTTGAAGCCATGTATGATTTTGTCATGTGAAACAGCGGATTACAATTGCCGAGGTTCTTGAGAATGATTGGTTCAAGAAAGGATATCAGCCACCCGTTTTTCAACAAGAGGATGTTAGTCTTGATGACATTAATGCTATTTTTAATGAGTCAACGGTTAGTATCTTTGTAATGCTCTCCTAATATAAATTCCGGAATGCTTTACTTATTATGCACCTCTGTTACTTATTTCAACGGAATATAAATTGGCTATTTTTTAATTGCATCCAGGATTCTCCTTACCTAGTTGTGGAAAGGCGGGAAGAGCGCTCCACCACACCAGTGACAATGAATGCCTTTGAGCTTATCTCCAAATCTCAGGGTCTTGACCTCGGTTCTCTCTTTGAAAAGCAAATGGTGTGTTCTTTAGACTTGACACTGAAGTGATCAAATAACTCAATTTTGAGAATTTCTAGAGAATGCCTGACATTTTCTCTGATGACAGGGGCTTGTTAAAAGAGAAACGAGATTCACATCCAAATTACCTGCAAATGAGATAATCTCAAAAATTGAGCAAGCTGCGTTGCCTCTGGGGTTTGATGTGAAGAAAAACAACTATAAGGCAAGCGACACACTTTTGGATGATTTCACCCTACATTTCTCTTATTTGAGGCGGAATATTTTTTGTAGGACAGTGGAACATAGCTTGTGCATGTTTAGTAATTGCTTTTAATTATTAAATTTTGAGCAACTTTTCCACTTGTGACTTTTTGAGGATCCTCTTTCTCAGTTGAAACTTCATGGGGAGAAGACTGGGCGCAAGGGTCATCTATCAATTGCAACAGAGGCATGTTGTATAAGAAGCTTGTGAATTACACTCTATCATACAATAGAAAAATATTTGGATATTGTGGGATTTTTTATTGATATTTATTGCAGATTTTTGAGGTGGCTCCTTCACTTCATATGGTCGAGCTTCGCAAGGCTGGAGGAGATACCTTAGAATTTCACATGGTAATGAAGTTAAGATTTATGCCGATAGAAATAGCTCGCTATCCAAAATGCGCCGTTGTGGAAAAACAAGACCTATAGATAGACATTATGCTATGGAAGTTAACCATTTGCTTGGAAAAGCTCCAGAGTGCCATTTTT